CTCTGGGGAGTACGCACTGGAGAGCAGATGAATCCCGAAGATCACCACTGACTCCCACCCTCCTAACTTCTCCAGATGCAGAGGCCTCCATGGCTGTGATAAGCCTTCTGTTCCTGGCAGTGATGTATGTTGTTCACCACCCCTTGATGGTCAGCGACCGGATGGACCTGGACACACTAGCCAGAAGTCGGCAGCTGGAGAAGCGGATGAGCGAGGAGATGCGCCAGTTGGAGCTAGAGTTTGAAGAGAGAAAGCGGGCAGCTGAGCAGAAGCAGAAGGCAGAGAACTTCTGGAGAGGAGACACATCCAGTGACCAGTTAGTGTTGGGGAAGCAAGACATGGGGTGGCCATTCCAGGCTGATGGCCAGGAGGGGCCACTGGGCTGGCTGCTGGGAAACCTGTGGAATGCTGGCCTCTTCTGCCTTTTTCTCGTCTTTGAGCTCCTGCGACAGAACATGCAGCATGAGCCGGCCTTTGATTCCAGCAGCGATGAGGAGGAGGAGGAAGTCCGTGTTGTGCCCGTCACCTCCTATAACTGGCTTACTGACTTCCCCTCGAGGGAGGCCCTGGAATCCTTTTACAAACACTACGTCCAGAATGTCACCCGTGATCTGTCCTGCACCTGCGAATTCGTAGAGAGCTTTGTGGATGACCTCATTGAGGCCTGTCGGGTGCTCAGCCGCCGGGAGGCTCACCCACAGCTGGAGGACTGCCTGGGCATCGGGGCTGCCTTTGAGAAATGGGGAACCCTTCACGAGACTCAGAAATTTGATATCCTGGTGCCCATTGTCCCTCCGCAGGGCACTATGTTTGTGCTGGAGATGAGGGATCCGACCCCAGGCCGCCGCTGTGGCTCTGTGCTGGTGGAGTCGGAATGTGTGTGCAAGCGTGAGAAGATTCTGGGGGACGTGCTGTGCCTGGTGCACCACCACAGGGATCACTCGGCTCTCCTAAGCAAGTGTAGCAGCACCATCAAGGTGGCTCTCTGCACTGGCTCCCACCTGGACGTGTGCAAGACAGTACAGTGGTTCCGGAACATGATGGGCAATGCCTGGGCCCTTGTGGCCCACAAGTATGACTTTAAGCTCAGCCTCCCACCGTCTACCACCTCCTGCAAGCTCAGGCTGGACTACCGCTCAGGCCGCTTTCTCTCGATCCACTTGGTTCTGGGGGTGCAAAGGGAAGACACGTTGGTCTACTTGGTGAGTCAGGCTCCTGACCAGGAACAGCTCACCAGTGTGGACTGGCCTGAGTCCTTTGCAGCCTGTGAACACTTGTTCCTGAAGCTGGTAGGGCGTTTTGCTCCGGAGAACACCTGCCACCTCAAGTGCCTCCAGATCATTTTAAGTCTCCGGGACCTTCAGAGCTTACCCCAGGGAGCATCTCGTCCTATCCTCACCTCTTACCACTTCAAAACGGCCCTCATGCACCTGTTGCTGCGGCTGCCCCTAACAGACTGGCAGCACAGCATGCTCTCCCAGCGGCTCCAGGACATCCTCTGGTTCTTGGGCCGTGGCCTCCAGCAACGGTCCCTCCATCATTTCCTCATTGGTAACACCTTCCTGCCCCTGACCATCCCGATCCCTAAGACATTTCGGAATGCCGAGCCTGTCAATCTCTTCCAACACCTAGTGCTAAACCCCATGGCACACTCACAGGCAGTGGAAGAATTCCACAACCTTCTGACCCAAGTGAAAACGCTGCCCTGTGCCCCATTGGCTGGGGCACATTAATGTAAAGGCCATTAAAAAAGGGGAGAAGGTATTTCTGATTCCTCAGGCTGCCAAAGAGTTTATTTTTCAGGACACGTCAATGGTATGTGTGATGTTTACCTTGCCAGTGGGGGGGCTATGATAGATGAAGACACTTTACGGGGTACCCGAAGTGCTCATAAGGATGGGGTCCAACCTGTAGGGTCTGATCTACAGTGTGTCTTCTGAGGTTTTCTTCTCCCGCCTTTTAGCATGACCCAAAGAGGGCCCAGGGAAACAGGTGTTATAGGAGGATCTCGCAGCTAGAGTTGAAATCCAGAGGCGGCCTGTGAAGTTGTGTTTTGTATCAACACTGGAAGTGAAAGAGAACCAGAGAATACCTCCGTCGCAGCTTATTCCTTTTTGTGAATGACTCCCAGCAACATTCCTTGCAACCTGGTTTCCTGGTTGAACTGTTAGTTTAATTCACATCCAAGCTGACAGCGCATCATTTTATCCTAAATACCTGTGAAGGCAATTGCTCGTGTGTTAGGATCTAATTTTTCAGACCTTCTCTATTTGAAGATATAACCAAGATGTTTGTTTTCCTTTTTCTTAATTTAGCCCTATTTTCATATAACATATGAAGTAGAATATAATACAGCTGTTTTTATGAATCTGAAAGAAAACTCCCACTACTAGCCAAAGAATTCATTAGCACTGATTCACAAATATTAAGTCAATGGTGATCTATTTCGTAATTGTGTAAATTTAGTAAATTTAGTGTATTTACTAAAATTAATGACATAGCCAGCATCTAACAAGCCTCTCAAGCCTGGAACCAATGTTATAAAACCCTTACAGAGGACAGTCTTTTTTTTGGCGGGGTGGGGGGCGGGTGGCTCTGAGATGAACAATTAGTGTTTCTAAAGGGAGCCATTTGTTTTGTCAAATGAAAAGGTTTAACCCCCATGTGTAGCCGTGCTTTTTCTCAGTCTGTTAATGCCTTTGTATTCTCTTTTCAAAGATGACAAAGGGAGTTTTTTGAACTATGTTTGCGGTTTTGCAAAGCAGGATCATCACAATCCAGGCCTGTTGCCAGGGTCGGACAGGAAGGGACTGTGGAGCAGTCCAGCTCCAACAAAGTCGTGATTCTGAAGATACGATTGGTGGATTTTTCCCTTCTTTCAAAAACCTGGGCATCCTGATGAGGAGGCTTAAGAAAAGTGACTGTAGTTGTGGGTGTGGTTGTTTTGGAAATAACAATGCTGTTCCTTCCCTGCATGCCAGGAAGATCTGGGGAGGAGAACCTGGCCGCACGTTTAACTCGATCACAGGGGGGTTTAGATGCTGGCCTTGTGGGCTTTTGCTGTATCCACACCCCTCCCATGGCAAAATTAAATTACAAATTTATGTCCCAGAAGCTGATGCGAGTCAATATTTGAGGCTCCTACCACACATTAATGGCTGTGCTCCCGTGTTATCTGCTGACACCTGCCAGGTACTGCTTTCAAGCTAAGATGCAGTGATGGTTGGTTCCATGCTCGTTGGGATTTTGATGTTTTAGAAACATCCATATTCTTTTTGTTTAGAAAACAATTTGTTGATGTTTTAGTTCTGAATCAATAAAGGAAGTTATTTTGTGTGTCAGTTGGAATCTACATAATAACACACACAGAAGACCAGTATTCTCACATGCCTGTTCCCAAGATGTTCATGTTCTCCCGATAGCTTCATCCAGTACATCCTGCTATTTCTCAATGCACCTTGAACCAGTCTGCCCTGAGGTTTCCCAGTGGCATGGCCAGTAGCCAGGAAAGAATAATTCAGAATGTGATTCATTTTCATGGTGCCCAGACCAAAATATCAGCCAATTTAAAAGACTACAAACAACATTGAGAAGCTGTAGGAGGCACAAATCTGTCAAGTTGAAAGGTAGTATGATGTTCTAGAGCTCTGTGGTTTCCAGTCTAGTAAGAGGTAAGAAAACAGGAGCGAACAGAAGACAACAAAGGGAACAGTCAGCGAAGCTTGGGTGGGGCAGAGGGTGTTAAGAACGAGTATAGAAAAAACAAGTAGTAATGGAAAGAACAGAGCTGTTGTGCTCTGGGAATACTCTTACAATGAAAGGGGAAACTTCTCTAGATAATTGAGGAAGCTGAACTTTATTCTAAAACAATTCCTGGCCGGCACCCAGGATACAACAGGAGTTCTAGTAATGGTTATACTTCACGTTCATTGAGCATTGCCAATGGTCCAGGCACTGTTCTTAATGCTAAGTTACCTCTAAGTGAGGTAACTCATTTAGTCCTCACACTATAACACCATGAAGTGAGGGCTTTATCCCTTCCATTTTACCTATGAGGAAACTGAGGCACAGAAATGGTACACACTGGGGCACCTGGGTGGCTCAGTCGGTTAAGCGTCATGATCTCACAGTTCCTGGGTTTGAACTGTTCATTGGGCTCTGTGCTGAGAGTGGGGAGCTTGCTTGGGATTCTCTCTCTGTCCCTCCCCAACTCGCGCTGTCTCTGTCTCTCTCAAAATAAATTTAAAAAAGAAAAAGAAATGGTACACAACTTCCCCAAGGTCACATAGCTAGTAAAAGGCAGAGCCCGGAGGAAAGTGCATGTCTTAGCAACCTTCCAGCATGGTCTTGGGAATATCAAGATGTAGGAGTTAACATGCTTTGAAAAGCTAAAAGCACTACATTAAGATAAAGGGTGGTATGTTGTTTAGAAATTCTAGAAGACAGAAATTGTTGGTCCTTAGCCCAGTCTTTAGGTCAGGAGTTTCGTATCACATACAAAAATTAAAGGCATTTGCTCAGAGGCCAAAATGAATGTAAAGCCATTTGCACTACATGCCTGTTGAGCCCCAGTGACTTGTTTATATCATGAACTACATTATGATACAAGCCAGCTGCAGGATGGAAGGTCAGGGCCAATTTGAAGCCGGAAGATTGTTCAGGTCGCCAACCGATAACAGTATCGTTCCTCACCTAAAGGTTTTTGCCATTCATTTGGGGAAGTAGATCTTGGTAAGGAGTGAAATGGGGAAGGGGAATGGCCCCAGTACTGCTTTTCTGGCAGACCAGGAGTGGGGGCGGGAGGCACTACTTGGGGTGTGTGCAGAGCAATTGAGTTTTGCATACCACTCAAACCACTGATAAATCATTCAATCTTTTGGCACCCTCCACCCAACTAACCCCTCGAGAAACAAAGACGGCATTCAGATCTGGAGGTGAATGACCCTCCAGGGGGTGGAGCTGGCTCTCCCTCCCAGCACAGGGAGTCCCAAGCAGTCCAGTGAAGGGGTATTATCTTCAATGTTTTATAAACAGAAGAAAATGAGGCCCAGAGAGGTTCACATGCCCAACCGAGGATTTAAGCTTGTCTTCCCACTTCACACATTCAATACATATTCAAGCACTTGCTGTGTCCAGGGCTAGCACCGGGCCCTGGGAAAACAATGGCTTCCATCCTCATGGAACTGACAACCTGTGGAGGAGATAGACATGAAATAGTCACACCAGCGGATGTGAAATTTCAAAGGTGACAAGTTCCACTAAAACTTCCAGTAAGGACACTTGAGCGTATCAAGGAAGGAAGGCTTCCCTGAGGAAGTGATGTGAGCTGAAACTTGACAGGTGCCAACTGGGTGAAGATGGGGTTGAGATACTATGTGGAGGACATGTGCACATGGCACGTGCAGAGGCCTTATGGGAATGGGCATGATGAGGGAGAGTCTGATGGAAGGCCCAAGTGTCTGGAGGGCAGGAAGTAAGCGGAGGCAAGGTGCAAGATGAAGCTGGAGAGGCTGCAGGGACCAGACCCTGTAGGGCCTTCTAGACCACTTTAGAAGTTCCCAGAGCAATGGAACTTTTGAATGGTTTGAGACTTTGGGAAGTGACAGGTCGGTACTTAGCAACAGGTACTTAGCAACAACCACCCTGGGTGCAATGAGGAGGGTGTCCGAGCAGGTGTGGAGCTGCTGCAGACCAGCAAGAAGGTAATATGGATGAAAAAGAGACGCAGAGTTGAAGAGCTTTTTAGGAAGTAAAAAGAGTTCAACAATAGATTGTGTATAGAGAGTAAGGCATCCAGGATGGCTCCTGGGTGCTGATTTGGGTCCCTGGGTGGCTGGTAGAATCATTCGCTAAAAGACACTGTAAACCTGCGTTCTTCTCTCTATTCCACACTGCCTTGCGCTAAAGATTTGAAGGTGGTCACTATTTGTGCAAAAGCAAATAGGCTTATGAAGAGGTTTTCAACAAAGGGTAGTACTTTTAATGACTGAGGGGCACTGATGGCATTCAGCGGACAAATGGTGTGGAGGTTGCTGAACAGTCCTACGGAGTCCCACGTGTCAAGAATTGTTTCACCCTGAATACCAATAACACCCTTGAGGGGAAACACTGCATAAAATGCCAGATGTGTGTTGTAAGAAATAATGGGGGCAGGGTGGTGCCTGAGTGGCTCGGCCAGTTAGGCTCTTGATTTTGGCTCAGGTCATGACCTCAGAGCTCATGGGATTAAGCCCCAGGTCCGGCTCCGTGTTGACAGTGCAGATCCTGCTTGGGATTCTCTTTCTCTCTCTAAAAATAAATAAAAAACAAAAAAGAAATTATAGGATATTCTAGAGATATTTGGGGAAATTGCCCTGGCCTTTCCTCCCATAATACGATTCTTGGGATCAGATGAAGAATGGATAGGTGCCAATTATACCCATCTCATTTCTGACCTTAACCTTTTCTTTAGTGTGGCAGGGGTAGGAGTGGGGGGGGGGGGGAGGTGTAGATATCCATTAAGCTTTTCACAAGAATGTGAGTAAAAATGATGGCCTTCATTCAAAACTGTGTATACAACATTTCGCACCTGTCCTTCGCCTGCCCGATCCGTCCATTGTGTTGTTGGCTCCTTCTCACCTCTGTCCCATACCCCATCCATCGCTTTCTACCTCCTTAGTGTTTTGCTGCCCTCATAAAACAGGTCACTATGAGAAATTAACCTTGTTTCCTAGTAATCTGCCCCCATCGTTAGAAAGTGAATTGCGTGAAAGCAGTGTCTTCGCCCGTCCTGCTCTGCGCTGGAGCCCAGCTAGTGGGCTAGTGCCCAGTTCCGCGTCTAAGCTCGAAAAGAGGGAGTTTTCATGCTATTTCAGGGAGTCCATGGACCCTCTACAGTGCGCTCACAGGAACCGAGCAGGAAACCAGCCATTCCAAGCAGCACACTAGCGCACAGCCCGGCACACCCCCTTTACAGACGGAGGATGCGGCCGCCTGCGCAGGCCCGCTTCTGGCCCCGCCCACGGCAAACGTCACCGCGGCCGTTACGCCGTTAAAGCGTCTCGGCGCGCGATTTAAAACCAGCTCCAGACAGGGAGAGCGAGATGGGGCCTCCCTGCCCAGGTGAGGTTGAGCGGGTGCGGGGTGCCGCTGGAAGGGGTCGGCGTGAAGCGGTGCTCCGGGCGGGCAGGGTCGGCGGGCGGACTGAGCGGGAGGTGCGGATATTCTCGGCCTAGTTGTTGGTCTTGGGCTCTGCTGGTGGAGGGAGAGGCAGGCGCCGAGAGGAAGAGGCGGGAAGGAAGAGTGGGGGAGGGGTGTGCCCCGCCAATCAGGACACGGCTTCAGTCGGCGTCCGGAGCGCGTGGGCCGATCCCCACTCCTCCGTACGGTCGCTGGGTGTGGGGCGACCTTTCCTGTAGGCTTCTATGCCGTGCGCAGTGTCTCTCCGTTGAAACGGTGGTTTCCCTGGGCCTGCCGTACGCTTTGCGTACGCGTGCATGTATTTTTGCATTCATTCAGTAAGTGCTGAGCGCTCCCTTTGGGCCAAACCCTCTGTCAGGTGCAGAGATACAGTAAAGAACAAAACAGATAAGATCCCAACCTCTTGGAGCTTGTATTCTAGTTGGGGAGCCAGTTAACAAACGAATGAATTGCGCATGAGGCTGAGTGCTGTGATTGAGAATAGAGTAAGGGGAGGGGCCCCTTTCATTTGAGGATGCAAGGAAGGTCTTAGAGCAGAGACTGGGGAACGGGTTCTAGGTAGAAGAAGCAGGTGCTATAAAAGGGCCAGGAGGAAAGAGCCTGGCCTCCGCTAGGACTAGCAACATTGTGCCTGAACAGTGAGTGAGACCCTTGAGGTAGGCAGGGCCTTTGCAGGTCTCGGTAAAAGGTTTGGAAATTTAGAGTTACGTTTTGGACGTGGTAAATGACTCATGTGAGAGACTGTTGAACGGGTCAGTAAACATTGGGATAAGAGTTGGACACTCCGGGGAGTGATATGGGCCACTCAGGGAAGTGGCCCGCAGAATCAGGAACAAATTCGGACATCATCATCATATAGATCATAAAACCATGGGAACAGGTGAGAACGCTAGGAAGACCCTGTAAGAAAAGACACTCAGGACCAGCTTTTAGAAGCTAGATAGAGAAGGGGGAGCTTGAAAAACGGTCAGAAGAGAGCGGTGACATAGAAACCAGGAGTGTTTCAAGAAGCACTTGAAGGGTTTTCATCTGTTTCACATGCTGCTGAAACCCTACAGAGAGATGAAGCCTGAAAAGTAGCCAGAAGTTGTAGGTGATAGTAACAAGATAGTTTTCATAAAGTGGTGGGGGTGGTAGCCAGACATGGAGGTTTGAAAAACGAATGGGAGGTAAGGAAGTAGATGTAGAAAGTGTCTTTGAGCTCAGTAATCATCTGAATGAGAGAAATCTGAGGAGTATTCCAAGAATTGAAGCGTGCCTCTGATCCCCATCTTGAGTTTCCCTCTTAGGTTCCTCCTTCAGTGCTTCCCTATTTCTGTTAAAGTCTTTTGTCTCAAGGTCCAACTCCCCTTCTTCTCTGGAAGCGCCCTCATCCAGATAGTAACAAGTCCTCTCGATTCATTCTCTAAATATGTCTCTTGCCTCCTTCCTTTTCTATTTTTTCTTTCTGTTCCTTTTGTTTGTTTTGACCTCACCTCAGAGTTAATGTTAAACATACTCTTCAGCTTGTGGGAAGCTATCAGGGGAACATGTGAAGTTCTTCTTGTATTTTATTTATTCCCTTTTATCCCTATACACCACTTTTGAAAAAAATTAATGTTTTTTTTTTGAGAGAGAGAGAGGATGTGAAGGGGCTCGGCACTGACAGCAGAGAGCCCCATGTGGGGCTTGAACTCACGAACAGTTGAGATCATGACCTGAGCTGAAGTCAGACACTTTAACTAACTGAGCCTACCCAGGCGCCCCAATTAATGTTTTTATTTTTAAGTTTATTTCTTTTGGGAGAGACAGAGTGTGAGCCGGGGAAGGGCAGAGAGAGGAAGAATCCCAAGCAGTCTCTGTGCTGTCAGCGCAGAGCCTTACTCAGGGCTGTAACTCACAGAACTGTGAGATCATGACCTGAGCTGAAATCAAGAGTGGGACGCTTAACTGACTGAGCCACCCAGCGCCGCACCCCCCCCCCTTTGCCACTTATGTTCCCTTCCCCTTACATGGGCAACACTTAGTGTTAATTGTGTATCACTTTTTTTTTAATGTTTGTGGTTTTTTGTTGTTGTTGTTGTTTGTTTTTTTTTTTTTTTTTTTGAGAGAGAGACAGAGCATGAGCAGGGGAGGGGCAGAGAGAGAGAGAGAGGGAGACACAGAATCCAAAGCAGGCTCCAGGCTCCGAGCTGGCAGCACAGAGTCCGATGCGGGGCTCGAACCCACGAACCATGAGATCATGACCTGAGCTGAAGTTGGATGCTTAACTGACTGAGTCACCCAGGAGCCCCTATATTCTTTACTTTTCACTGTCTGTCCCTCATGTCTCTCATGTCCTTGTTCCCCTCCTTACTTAGCTTACATTCCCTGGTCAATCACTCTGTTTCATACGCTTCTAACCCCTTCTAGCCTTTTGCCCTCTTCTGGCCTCTGTATACTTTCTTGATAAAATCACAATCCTGATTAATTCCAACTCTGCCTACTCTCCCCTTGCCCCTGCTCACTTGATGGTCTCAAGGGGACCCTAAAGCTGCCCAGCAGTCATGCTGTATTCCCTTGTTCATCCACTCTCCTTCTCCTAGATGGCTATTCCATACCTTCCTTTCTCTCCTGAAATCTCCAGTACCTCCTCCCTGGCCCTCACCCTTAGCTACTGCGTTTTGGTTTTTATGTGCTTCTTATTTTACTAAGAAAATTAAAACAGTCCAAAAGGAACATCCACAAATGCACCGTTGTGCTTGCTCCCTTACCTGTATCTCTGTGTTGCCTGGCTTCCTTTCTCTTGCTGTGGATGGGCTTTCTGTAAGGAAAAGCAATGCTCTTACTTCCTTGAATGCATTGTTCCTTGAATGCATTGTTCAGTGACTTTTACCCTTTATTCTGCATGATCGCTGTGAATAGTGCCCCCCCCACCAAAGATACCCGGAACCTTTTTTTTTTTTTTCCCAACGTTTATTTATTTTTGGGACAGAGAGAGACAGAGCATGAATTGGGGAGGGGCAGAGAGAGAGGGAGACACAGAATCGGAAACAGGCTCCAGGCTCTGAGCCATCAACCCAGAGCCCGACGCAGGGCTCGAACTCACGGACCGCGAGATCGTGACCTGGCTGAAGTAGGACGCTTAACCTACTGTGCCACCCAGGCGCCCTGATACCCGGAACCTTTGAATATGGTATCCTTATGTGGTAAAACTGACTTTGCTGGGGCACCTGCCTGGCTCAGTTGGAAGAGCGTGCAACTCTTGAATTTGGGGCTGTGAGTTGGAGCCCCATGTTGGTTGTAGAGGCTACTATATATATATATATATATATGCACACACACTAATACAAGATTATAATTTGAAAAGGACTTTGCAGATATGATTAGGTTAGGGGTCTTGAGATGGGGAGATTATCCCAGATAGTCTGGATGGGCCCAGTGCAATCTCAGTGGTCCTCATAAGAGGGATGCAGGAGGTTCACAGTCAGAAGGCAATGTGATGACAGAAACAAGAGGTTGGAGTGATGGGACGAATGGAGGCAGCCTCTAAAAGTTGAAAAAGATAGGGAAGGAGATTCTTCTCTGAAGCCTCCAGAAAGAACACAGCCCTGCTAACACCTTGATTTTAGACTCTGACTCCAGGACTGCAAGAGAATACGTTTGTATTGGTTTAAACCACTAAGTTTGTAGTAATTTGTTAATAGCAGCAATAGGAAACTAATACAATTTCTTTGCTTCATTCTCTCTACTAAGCTGGAGTTTTCCCATCTTAAAATTAATTTCTCAACCTCACTTCCCTTTCAACTGCTTCCCTCCCATTTTAGTCCTTCCTTATTACAACATAAGTCCTTGAAAACCTTGTCTCCATTTACTGTCTCCCAGTTTCTCTTCTATCTTCCCTGGAATCTATGCCTGTTTGACTTTCTCCTCCCGCTGCTACCCTAGGAAAATGGCTATTGTCGAGGTCACCAATAAACCTCCAGGTGGTTAAATCCACTGATTGATTCTCAGCCCTTCTCGAATTTGACCTCCTTTCAGACCTCATTAATTTGTCAAGGAAGCATCAGAAGGCCGTCATGCCAAGAAAAACGTAAACTATAGAGGTTCTAGCCATGGAATATTCGAGTTGGAAAAGATCTTGGTGGCAAATGTGCAGTGAACTTCCACCCCAGGAGAGGCCCCAAGCCCACTTTAGAATAGGAAATGTGCCGTGGAAGGTTTGTTGAGCAAGTGTTTTGCTCCATCATCGTCAGCCACAATGAATACCTTTTTCTTCAGAAATCCGTGGGCACCCCCACAGTACCTCCTCACCTTCAGAACGCGTGTTCTCGATGCCCCTGCCTCGGAAGGCCCCTCTCAATACTCCTGGCACCCCCGTCCTTGAAGACTTTCCCCAGAATGACGACGAAAAGGAGCGACTGCAGCGGAGGCGCTCCCGAGTCCTGGACCTGCAGTTCAGTGCAGACTCGCCTCATTTGCTAGCCTCCCCATCGAGCAGGTGAGTACATTCGGGGCTGCCTCCATTGGGTGGCTGTTCTGACGTGGGTTACGTGGGTCTGGCATCTCCACAATACTATGTGGGATTCTGGATCCAGATTTTGAAAAGTTAGGGTATCATGGATCCTTGCCAGAGTTTTTTGTTTTTGTTTTTCGTGTAGGAATATTGACGTTTCAGCCACGATTCCTAAATTTACAAATACACAGATTACAGAACATTACTCCAC